ATTATATCCTAAAGTTTTTAAGGGCAATGCTGTGATCACAGAATTGGTTATAGGGATCAGAGAGACAATTATACTGAGGAAGTGGCTGCTGGGTTGTGAGAGGGGCTATTAAAGTGTTTTTGCTGCCTTGATTGGTATTGTTAACACGTACACTTAAATTGATGGTCAAAGCCATGTTATCAAATTGCCAGGAAAAAGTTCGAATTGGAGACTCGAAAGTGCTTTTGTAAAATTTTTTGATAGTTGATCTAGAGAAAAAGTGCGATTTAAGACAGTTTTCTTGGTAATAATGCATTTCCTAAAAGTGATGATCAATCTCAATTTGCTTCAGGTGTGCATGAAATTTGATTGGAAATAATTGCCATAATGGACAAAGAAAATGAATCCAAATGAGATCAGTGGTGGTTTTAGCTAAAGTGTGATATTCCACTTTCATCGAAGAACAAGCAATGATGGACTGTTTTTTTGCATTCTAAGAAATAAGAGTGTTGCCAAGAATTGCTGGCTCAGTTAAAACCTGAACAGGCATGAAGCTTGAGATCTCTTTGAATAGATATGCCATGATTAAGAGTTCCTTTAATGTACCTAATAATACATTTGAGGAGCAGTAGATGGATTTGTAATGATTGATGTATATGCTGCAATGTTTGTTTACGACAAACTATAAATCAGGCATTGTAATAGTTTGATCTTATAATGAGCCAGCTAGTTGATGAAATAGTTTAGCATCCATAATTGAGGTTGTAGATGCTTTGGCAAGAGCTGATTTGAAAGGTATAGATTTGGGAAAAGATGCATACAATCATTCCAATCATATGAAGAATTTTGTGGCACGCTTTTATTGATGAAGAGTAATAATTGTAGGAGTTGAAATAGCTTGAATGCCAATAATGTATGATATAGGTTCTAAATTCTTTTCCTAAGTTTTTTGATAAAGATTCTCTAGAAGAGTTGAAATGGCGGTGTGGTTGTTGCCGGTAAGAATTTATGAAAGATATCGTCCATATAGATGAGAACATAAAGATGGGTATTGAGTGGTAGATCATAAAGGGTTGGTTGAGTTGCAAAAGAAGCTTCACCATTCAAGATAAATTGATAGAGTTTTATGCCATTGTCACGGCACTTGCTTTTAAGGCCATAAATGGGCTTTTTAAGTATATACATGATTTGGAAATGGCCTTTTCGAGTAGCTACATGGGATCCAATTGAAGGACCAGACAGCTACAGTTAGCAAGAAACAAATGGTAGGAAATTTGGCGACCGACCTAATGTTTTTGTATAATCTAGTTTATGTTAAGCAATAGGTGCTCACGGTCATTTACTACACGCGCTATTGCTGCTGCTACTTTAGAATGGAATATTCGTATTGGGTGTATGCGCACATGGGTTGTTATAACAACCTCTGTATCCTTGTCTCTACCTAGTTTTACTGTATAAGTATTTCACTGTGCTGTAATACGCCTTCAAGCCGAATGAGCAAGAGGAAATATTGCTGAGCTTCATTACTCTGTTTTTATACTATTTCCTGTATTCTTCTATCTGCTTTACATTTCTAACATAGTATCAGAGCAGTGACTCCTGATGAGTTCATCCTCTGCATCGTCGACTGTTCAGCCAGACAAAGCTGACGCAAATGGAGGGATGCTGGATGCTACTATTCCTTCCTAGTTAAAGTTCTTGATGTCCAATGTGAAGAACATAGTTGCTAGTCCATTGACAACGGAAAACTATCCCACCTGGAAATCGCAAGTTGCCAAACTTTTTCGTGCCAATGGATGTGAGGGATTTCTCGATGGAACTGTTGCTTGTCCACAGAAATTTGTTTTTGATTAGAACGGTTCTCCTCTCTTAAATCCACAATACACTTCTTGGGTTCTCATTGATCAGAATTTAGCTGCCGCACTTTACTCTGTTATTTCACCCGCTATTCTTCCGTATGTGTTAGATCTTGAACACTGCACCGAAATCTGGAATACAATCGCCAAACGGCTTCAGTCGTCGACTCGCTCACGCATTATGCAATTGCGAAATGAGTTGCAGCATCTTACCATGAAAGATAAGTCGATGACAACTTATCTGTTGGAAGTTAAAGCTAAGGTCGATTCCTTAGCAGCCGCTGGTTTGACGCTTGATTCATAAGAAATCATTCATCACACTTTGAATGGTTTGCCAGCTACTTATCAGGCATTTAAAACAGCCATCCGAACGAATCTTCAGCCCTTGTCACTTGATGACTTGTATACCTTATTGTGCAGTGAAGAATTGAATTTGGCTCATGAAGTCACACGCGAATTAAGTTCGCTTCAGCTCACTAGCTCTGCTACTGCCCTCATTGCATCTCGCGGTCGGGGACGTGGACGGTTTAACAACTCTCATGGACGCTCGCTTACCATGGCCAAATCATCTCCAGCTACCTCCACCAGTAGTCGTGGTGGTCGTTCCACGCGACCGTTCGTTGCTTGTCAAATATGTGGAAAACCGGGACACACCGCCGTTCGTTGTTGGTATCGCCATGACCCTCAATACACTAATGATCCGCCAAACTCTGCTATATTTACGTCTGCCAATTCTACACCGGCCACTGAGTGGTTTATGGATAGTGGAGCTTCATCTCATTTAACCGCTGATCCAAATCTTCTTCAGTCTTCTCAATCATACAGCGGATCCAATCAGATTATACTCGGAAATGGTCAGCCCATTCCGATTCAAAATACTGGTAAAGGTATCCTACCCACTCCTGCAGGTAGCCTTCGATTATCTCAACTTCATCTTGTTCCAAATCTCTCCTTTAATCTTCTCTCTGTTCATCGTTTAGCTCATGATAATGATTGTGACATTTCTTTCACTTCTTCTGGCTATTTTATCAAGGACCGGAAGACTCAGCGGCCTCTTCTTCAGGGACCATGTATTAATGTCCTCTATCCGGTTTCTTCCTCTTCAGCGTCAACGTCCAAGCTTCCTTCACTTGCTTTAGTTTTTGCTCAAGTCGTTCCCGATCTGTGGCATCACCGGTTGGGGCATCCTGCGTTCAACACTTTATCATCTTTAGCTAATAAAATTCCGGTTATTTGTAAAACCGCAAACGCGTCTGTCTGTCATGTATGTCTTGTGGCCAAGAGCCATCGTCTTCCGTATGTATATTCATCAAGTCGTTGTAATGAGTCTTTTACATTAATACACTCAGATATTTGGGGTCCTTCTCCCACAAATTCTGCGTCTGGTTATCGTTATTATCTTTTGTTTATTGATGATTGCACTCGATACATTTGGGTATATCCTCTCCTAAAGAAATCTGATGCATTCTCAAAATTTTGTGAATTCAAAAGGATGGTTGACTGTCAATTTCAAACTCCTATACAAATTTTGCGAACAGATGGTGGAGGGGAATACCTGAATAATTCATTTCAAACTTTTTTAAAACACCATGGCATTCTTCATCAGTATACCTGTCCCTATACACCATCTCAAAATGGTGTTTCTGAACGTAAACACCGCCACATCTGTGAAACTTTGCGTTCTCTGTTGATTGCTGCTCATCTTCCTCACTATTTTTGGGTAGAAGCTCTGTTCAATACTGTTTATTTAATCAATAGAATGCCTTCATCCAATACAGGCAATGTCTCTCCATATGAGCTTCTTTAGAAGACAGCCCCATCCTATGATCATCTTAAGGTATTTGGCTGTTTATGTTATCCGTGGCTTCGTCCCTATGCCTCTCACAAACTCTCTCCATTCTCTCGACCTTGTGCTTTTCTTGGCTACGCTCCCTTTCAGAAAGGTTATCGGTGCCTAGATATCTCCACACATAAAATCTACACATCCTGTCATGTTGTGTTTAATGAGTCCGTTTTTCCTTTCTCTCAATCATCTAATTCTACGGCATCATCTCAGTCTCCAGATAATATTCCACCATTGTTACTTGTTCCTACATATCATTCTTCTCCTGCTTCGAATCAGTTTTCGGTATT